TGCTAAAAAGTAAAATTTAACTTTTAAATCAGTTTCATAACCCACATCATCATTTTTCCCTGTTATTTGAGAAACTGGGCAGGAGCAATACCTGGGAGTTTCACTGATGAGCAGAGCCAGGTGTGAGGGGGCTGCAGAGCCAGGAGCTCTGGGCAGAGGAGCTCTGGGGGAGCACACCCAGCCCCAGGTGCCCACACCTGCACAGCCCTGCCCTGAACTCAGCCTGACTCTGCACCCCCAGCTTCTCCCACACTTCCCCAATTAAACCATTCACACTCATATTAACGAGCTGTCCACAGCCCTGCAAACTGATTTATCTGCTGCTGACAGTCCGAGCTGCTGCCCAAGCTGCTGGAGAGGAAAAGGTCTTTAATTTAGGGGTTGTTTTCTTTATACTTGTTCCTTTTCCCACTGATTTTCACTTGCTGTTGCTTCACAATTAACTCAAGGTCACAAGTTTAGGAGGTATCACAGGGTGATGTCAGCTCCACTTGGCATAAGTAATATTTGTGTTCCTGTTTGTTAAATGAATGGATTGAAATAGGATTTTATTGGAGTAAAGAAGCTTTTTATTTATTTAAAAAATGGGATTTTTCAAAGAGGATTGCTAAGTCATTGCAGATAATTATTTTTAAGGAATCTTTTAAAGGTGTCACTCCCCATGGCAGAGGTTTGGAATGAGATGTTCTTTAAGGTCCCTTCCAGCTCAAACCATTCTTTGATTCTGTAACTCACTGTTGTTATTTGTGCTCTGAGGATTTACTGAAAAGCAATTTTTCAGGTTGGAAATTTATTGAGAATATGAAGAGCTGATGGCTTCTATTTGGTGAAAAAAGGGGTATTTTCCTCTAGTCACACATTTACATTGTTAATCTGCAAACTTCACCAACACATCTGAACACACAGCTGAGTTATTCACCATTTACAGTTTCTAGAAAGCCAAAATAAAGCTGTGATGAAAGATTGGATTATTCACAGATAATCTACAGCTCTCCCAAACTGTGCACACAAAAAAACAAACTCCTGGCTTTTTTGTGATTTGGAAAAAAAACCAAACCCAAACCCTTCAGAAATGATTAATAGTAATTGTCAGGAATTTATTTGGAAGGGGACTGTCCTTATGTTGTCACATGTCCCATTAACACTGGCAGCAGGATATTGATTGGCCACAAACAAAGTCTACTTGCAATTATTTCACTGCAAAAGAGCAACCAGAAGAAACTAAAAACCCAAATTTGGAAGTCTATAGATTGTTTTGGAGAGTCTACAGCAAGATAATTTACAGATAAAACAGAATAAATGGTGTAATTTTAATAAATGTTGTTTTGGTACAGCTTATATTTACCACTTTTTCACAATCAAACAGCATGAGGGAAAATTAAAGTTCTGTAAACTTGCAGTAAATCCCTAAATATTCATAGCTGGATATTGATAGACAGGGAAAGGGAAAATTATCATCCCTGCCATGTCAGTGCTCTTCTGTTCTGATGTTTCACTTCACTTCCAGGAAAATTGTCCTCAGTTCCAGCTGTCTTAAATTCAGAGCTGAGGAAAAACCCGTTGAGTTATCTCAGTGTCTTCAAGAAAACTCTAGCTGATAATAGAAAATAACAACCTTTAGACAGCACTTTTTATACCAGACTGTAAAATTTAATCGAGGGTTTTATCTTGCCATAGAAATTTGGTGTTTTTTTATAAAAACCCCAGGAAACATTATTATTTCTGTTCAGTCCTTTTTCTAAGGAATGTCTGCAGAACTGACTCCTTTTTTATTTAGATAATTCCAGGACCTGCACCTGTTGAATGACACAGGACTCTTCCAAGTGTAAAGTTAATTCCTCAGGAGGTTTGGAAAAATCCCAACCCTTCTCATGATGTTGAAGACTATATTTTCACATCTAACAGTGATGTCTTGGGGAAAAAAAATTTAAAAATTAAAAATTATATTTTAGAGGAACTTGGTGAGGGATACACAACCTCTACAGGAGGGTGGGGAGCTGCACCCCATCCAGGGATTTTTGGGAAACTCCACCCCCATCTAGGGATTTTTTGGGAGGATGGAGCCTGTAGGGTTGAGCCACCTCGTTCAGCATCAGAGGGAGGATAGCAGGAGCTGCCTGGGATAATCCCAGAGGATGCCCTAAACACTCGTGTGTTTTGCAGCACTTTGAGGCTTTTTTGATGCTTCTAAGGAGGATGCAATTAGCTTTTCAATGATAAATAAATTAGAGATAGTTGATTTTGCCGCTCACACATTTGTTTTCTTTGCTTTCATGAGGGACTGCAGCCTGTTTATGATTTTCTCAGAAGTTTGAGAGACTTGCTTTGCTTAGTGACAAATCCTCCCCTCTAGGCAGCACAAGGAAAGAAAAAAAAAAAAAAGAGGAGAGCAAAGATAGTGGGAACCTGCAAATGGCCAGTGTGTCTGCAGGGAAGGGAATCCCCTCAGGACTCCCAGAGGTTTGGTTTGTTTTCTGGCTGTTTATTTACGTAATTAGAGCTCGTAATTCCACACAAGGCAAAGGGAAAGAAGAAGCAGCAGCAAAAGAAATCATGGGGAAGCACAGGCAGGAATCAGTTGGTTATGCAGGACTGGAATAAGGCTCTGGTGGAACTTCAAGGATGGCTTTGGCTCTGCAGGTGGTGGTCACCAGCTGGTCTATGGCATGGGTGGGACTTCATGAAATCATGGAATGGTTTGGGTGGGAAGGGACCTCAAAGTCCCTTCAGTGCCACCCCTGCCATGGCAGGGACGTCTCCCACTGTCCCAGGTGCTCCCAGCCCCAGTGTCCAGCCTGGCCTTGGGCACTGCCAGGGATCCAGGGGCAGCCACAGCTGCTCTGGGAATTCCATCCCAGCTCCTCCCCACCCTGCCAGGGAACGATTCCTAATTCCCAAAATCCCATCTAAATCTACCCACTGACAGCTTACAGCCATTCCCTGTGCCCTGTCCCTCCATCCTTGTCCCCAGTCCCTCTGCAGCTCTCCTGGAGCCCCTTCAGGCCCTGGAAGGGGCTCTGAGCTCTCCCCAGAGCCTTCTCCTCTTCATGCTGAACAATCCCAATTCCATCACTTGTCATCACCCAGGTTCTGTGCAGAGATTTCCTCCACCACCACCACGTGCAGCTGAGGGAGAAGCTCCCAAGCACTCTGTGCAGCCTTTGAGGACCGTGATTTAGAGAGTGACATCCAAAGATTTGCAATGTAAGTCTTGTTAATTCCCTTTAATTTGAATTTGGTAATTATTTTGTACGTTTCATCTTGGTGTTCACACCCACTTAGACAAGTCTTCCTATGGTTTCAGAGTTTCAAGTGATTCCAAGAGGTTGGTAGAGGAGGTAAGGGTAATTCCACCACCAACTTGGAGCTGCTAATAGGCTAAAATTGTGCTATTTGGAGGAAATTCTTGCTTCAGGACAGAAGTATCTGAAAAAAAATGCTTAAAGTAGCAAGAGTGTGGCTTGGAATTTGTACAAAAGAAAGAATAAAATACTTGTAAAAAGCAAAATCCAAGTAGAAAGAAATACTCTGCATAGTCATGTTAAAAGGGGGGTTAGTAAGGTCAAGGAGAAGTTTTGTTTTGAGAACTGTGCTGCTGAGGAGTGCAAAGAATAACAAATAAGAAAAATGTGCCTTTTTTCCTACCTCCTCCTGAATGAAACACAGCATTTTGTGGAAGGTCAGTCACTGGGAACTGATGGGGGATGATGGAGGCAGGTTCCCAGCTCAGCTGTACAGATAATTTCAGTCCCATTCTGTGTGAGCAGGGCAATGAGGCTGTCCCAGCCTTGTCTCCGGGTGCATTTCCATCACACCCAGCACTGCCAGCCCTGCCGTGGGAGATCACATCACGCACATTGCCTTAGGGCAAGGAAATAGGGGCAGCAATAGCCCGGCCAGCAGGGCACTCCAGGCAATCAGAGCAGCCCAGTCACCCTCAGCTGAGACTTATCAACTGCAAGAAGTGGGGAAATGTCATTTTTTTCCTTCCCAGGAACAGCTTTTATCTGTGTGTGTTTGTGTGAGAAGCAGCGAGGCGGGAAAGGAAGCACAGCCAGAGCTCTTCCACCCACCCAGGACAGGATGGCCATGGATCCTCTGCTCTGGAACTCTCCCTGTCACCTCCCAGGGACATCTGCTGGGTCTGCAAAAGGAGGAACTGGGGTCTCCACACTGCAACAGGCTGGGAGCAAGGTGGGTAACGGGCGTAATTAAAGGAGGCGTAATTAAAAATTATTTCCAAGTGGTTTCTCCTTCTGCAAGAGGAGAGTGGAAGGGCTGGCTGGGCTCAGTGCTGTGGGAATAAATATCACCGTGTAGATGATGGTGTGGAAAGTAAACAAAGAGTAAGGTGGAAAAGGAATTGGAGTTGTCTGGAATTGGTTGATCAGAAATAGTTGTGCTATCAGAAATGAAATTGGAGAATCACAAACTGGCTTGGATTGGAAGGGACCTTAAAGACCACCTTGTTCCAACCCCTTGCCATGGATGGGGAGCATAACAGGCACCTGCAAAACTCTGGACATCTCCTGATGCTGGCTAAAAAGAGAGGCAAGGGAAAAAAAATTAAAGAAATCAAAAGAAATGATCCCCATTGTGAAAGTCAGAGCAGTCTCAAAGTGCTTAACTCAGGCTTCAAGTCCCTCAACCCCTCTTGAGGGTGGAGGAAGGAGCTTCCCATGTATTTTGGGAAGGGCAGGACCATGGGAGCTGTGTCTGTTTGCCAGGCCTGTGGTGAGCACCTTGCCTGACATTAAGCAGAGGCAATAACTTTGTGATGACCTAAATTCATTTAAAAAAGAATTACTGATGTATATATTCAGGTCAATAGCGCTTTCCCCAGGTTTCAATAATCGGATCAATTATCTGAATCCAATAAAATCTTATTAAAGAAATTCAGAATTATCTTTAGAATAGCTGGCCTTGTAGTCCCTGAGTAGGTTACAAAAACTGCTATGAAGAATTAGTGTGACCTACTTTCTGGGTGGTACAGATATCATTATCATATCAGAGGTGCAGGCTGATAAGGCAACATGACTTCCATCTCTTATTGAAGAGAGTTTGGCAAAAAACTCAGACAAAACTTTCATCTCGCTCTCCAAACTATTTTATTTTCCTAAACACCAGCTGAAATTTGAAAAGTCAAAGCATTGCACATGATGATACACCTGTTGAATGAAGTGAATGAGGTAAAACCAACAGGGTGATGAATGTTTAAAGCACTTGGGATGGGGACAAGTTGTTGTTGCAGGTTACAAATGCTTGGTCAGCCCAAGCATTTGCTTGCACCTCCTTCCACAGAGTCAGTGAGGACTCAGATCCTGAGGCAGAGGGGGAATTACAAAAAGCCAATGTTTCATTACAAAAACTGGTGGAAAACCTTCCGGCCTTCTCTCTGCCAGGTGAGATGTTTGGTTATTTTATTGCTTCTGAGACAACCACTTTGTTAAAATCTGGCTGGAAACTTCCTTGTGTTTCTAAGATGGTTTTTGATGGGGCAGCATTTGCAGATCTGGGCTGGGGAATCAGGCTGTGCTGGGCAGGATTGCCCTAAGAACTGCAAAACCAAATCTTTGGTACTTGTGAAGTAAACCTGAGCTCCGTGCTGGCTGTATCTGGAAGAAGTGTTTCCTTAAAAAATACCCTACGATATGTCAGGGCTGTTGTTTAGAGCTGTGGAAGACAGCGGGGATTTAACTGGGGTTGCAGTGGGCTCAGGGTGGGATCTGTGCTGGAATTTGTGGCATGGCACCTTTCCCTTAGGCAGAGGAACCAGTGAAGGAGAGATAGGAAGTTCCTGGCCTGGTTCCTGGAGGTTCCAGCTGGATTTGCTCAGCTCTGCCCCATCCAGCTGGAGGTGTGAAGATGCTGTGCTCCTGTGAGGAACATCACTGTTCCCACCACAAGTGGTGAGGAGCTTCTCCGAGCTGTGCAAACACAGAATCGGGTCACAGGAAGGGCTCCAAACACTGGTAACCCTTTCATGAGGTTACCAGAGAGTTGATGCCAACATGTGAGGCCGGAACTGCCTGGTGCCAGCCAGTGGAGATGGCAGTGGAGCAGTGCCAGGAGTGCTCACACCCTCCTGCGCCCCTCAGGCCGCAAGGCAAGGCCGGCCATCCCTCACACACCCACCCATGGCAATGGCGGCAGAGCAGCTGTGGGACCCCCACACCAGCAGGCCATGAGCGTGGCCAGGACGGTTTTCCAGGAGTTAATTAGGAAGCCGAGGCTCTGGGAGCCTGTTGGAGAGCTCTGAGCAATCCCAGCTGCTCCGCAGGCCCCGCCGGCGTGGCAGAGCCAGGCCCTCCTCCCCGGCAGCCGCAGGCTTTGATCTCGCCAGTATCAAACCAGTTGGGCCCCAGTAGGGTGGTGGGAGCAGCGGGAGCCACTGGTGGCCTGTGGCTCAGGGCAGCCACCTTCTCTCCACACAGGCCCGCCGGCCCCCGCTCGGCGGCGGGACATCAAGGCAGGGCCGACCGACAAGCGCGTTAATTAGGAGGCTGAAATTATAATGTTGTGTTAAAGAACAAAGAGTCTCCAAAGGAAAAATATGTGCCGCATATCTGACAAAGATAAATTGGATTATTCAAAATATTCCTGATGAAATGTTACATTTTGCAACTAATTATCAATCTGTTTTATCTCCAGACCAGCTGGGCATTTTTGTGCATGCAAGACCTGCCTTACCAATGATCTTAAGATGTCACTGTAGCGTTTACATCTTTTATTTCAAGATTTAAATAACTAGGAAGTAGCTAATGTAATTCACTGCTGAGAAGAAAGGCTAGTTAGTTGAATGCTTTCCAAAGTGATCTTTTCCTAATGAACTTCTCTGGACTGTGAGTAATGAGGCTTTATTCAAATAATGTTTAAGAAAGGTTTTTATAATGTAATTTTTTAAAGAAAGAGCAACATTTAATGCATTTAAAATATCTTTATTAATCCTATACTGCCTCATGTAGCATTAAAGCATTGTGAATATTTGGTTTTGTTCCTTCTGAATGTTCCTTTTGTGATGAACTGGTTGCAGTAGCAATGGAGCTATAGAAATTGGGCAATTATCTCATAAATGTTCAGTGATATCTTACAAATTACCATCTGACATGATTACAGAGCCATTTTGCTGCAAAAGCATTTGTTGTTTAAGTATATTTATATATCACAGTGGTCTGTATTTCCCCTGGTCCCTACTCAGACACTACTCCTATGTGCAAGCACTGAGCTTTTCTACCCCTTCTACAGCTCACCTTTGAGACAGCTGTGCTCAGATTAATCTGCTGGAGGTGTCATGAAAATTTTCTTTTGAGTGTGATCTTGTGGTAGTTTTCAACTGGAATAGGAGAGGATACCTCATAGGTTCCCTATAACAGCAGTGCTCTGCAATATTTTGGATTCTTCGTGAGGTTCTGAAGTTCTGAAAGTGTTCTGGCAAATTTTGCTTTTATGGCACTGAACTGACAGGGCGGCCAAAAAAATTTAAAAAATTAAATACCTTAACATAATTGGGCAATTTCTAGGAAGCGATAACCACAAATGTATTTGAGCAAACCTCACTATTTTTGATTAATGAATGAAGTGGCATTATTGAGTGTGGGCTGATCTCACCCTCCAAAAGGTTGACTCCCACTGTATATGGGACCTGACTGATACACCCCATGGCTACACATTTCTGAAATTTGCTTTATTTATGGCAGAATATCAGCTCAAAAGGACTTAACTCTAAATCCTGAAGTTTTCTGCTTCTATCTCCCAATAGTTAATTTTTAAACACTATATCCAACCTATATTCAAAGTTTTCCCAGAGAACAGGAGCTGAACATGGAGACTTCAGCCTGTGGTACATGGAATGAAACCAAAGCAATTTGCTCAGCCCGTCATTTTTTCCTCTCCCTTCTAGAGAGTGAATTTTGTCCCACCTGATGATCATTTTAACTGTTCAGAGCAGGTTCTGCTTCATTGTAGAAATGAATTCTTTCTGGCTTTCAAAAGGGCTCTTCCCAAAGCTGATCAATGCATTCCCTGCTTTTTTCCATGCTCTATCAAGGCCTGATCCTGCTAAGAGCAGGAGGTGCTTGGCTCACTGACCTTCTCCCAGAATTCCTGCCAGTTAGGAGTGGTCAGCACCCAGCAGGATTTGGCCTTTGCTTTGCACAAAAACCTCCCTGAGTTTGAATGTTTCATAATGTATGTTTAAACAGTCGCAGCTAGCAAAGAACTTTGATGAGGCAAAGGGATAATTGGATTTTCTTGTTCTATAATTAAAAACGTATATATTACATCCACATTAATACCAAAAGAGTTCATCATGATCAGTGTTATTACAATGAATACCAAAGGATTTAACAGAGATTGGCCACTTAGTTTAAAGGGTACCTGAAATCATTAAATTGTTTGCTGGAGGGCTTTTGAAGGCCTGTTGGATGGCCTGCCACTCCATATTTTTTTTTACTCCTGGCCTGCAATGTGAGGTTTACTTTTACAAAGTAGGAGCAACAGGGTGATCATTTTCCTTTATTATTCCCTTATTGACTTCCAGTTAATTTTAATCTTTGCATTAAGTGACCTCTATTAAGCTTGCCAGGTATCTGATTACTCTGCCAAGGTTGAGACCAGAAGGCGACCTATTGCACCACATCAATTGTCCTTCACAGAAGCCCTTACTGTTAATCAAGAGAGGAAGATTAAAGGAGATCAGAACTATCAGCCTGGAGTGAATTTTGCATTTGAATACACCTTTCTACCAGTGTGTGTGTATTGTCCTAGAAAAAAACAAATATGAGCTCTTGGGAGCAGCTTCTGCTCAAATCTCCACTGAGAGAAGCTCTCAAGGCAATGTGGTATCTGCAAACTTAGCTCTACCCTTAAACACTCCAATTTGTTCGTAAAATTCTAAATTAGACGCATTTTAAAATATCTGTAAAATCTCCAAATAAGCTTTCTCATATTTGGTTTGGACAAACACAACTTTTCATTTTTTTCCCCTGCAATCCTAAAATGCTCACATTTAATTTTGCTCAGTTCTACATAGGTACAAATGAGCTTAATTAACTCTCATTCTTAGAATCACAGAATCTTTTAGGTTGGAACAGACCTCTAAGTCCAACCATTAAACCTACTCATCTTAGGTTGGTGGAGAGGTTAGAGTTGACTTTTCATGAGCATGTGAAGGTTCACGCTTTGAGGCAGCTCCTCAGGGGTTGTTGGCCTTTGTAGAATTCCTTCTGGAGAATTCAGAATTTAGAGTTTGTAGAATTCATAAATTTGTATCAGCTTGTGCATTTTCATGTGGTAAATCCTAGTGACCCCAATTAATTAAACCATAAATTTATTTGTACAGGAAAAATATTAATTTTCTTGTATTTCATTCTCTTAATGTGTTCTGGAACTTTGCCTGAAATTCTTAGAGACAAAAATTCTGAAATTATTGTTGGAAGCTGCAATGTGGGTCTAGAAAAGATATAATAAATGTATGTAATAATAAATGTATTGATTGCTCCCTGATTATAATTATGCCATTATACATTAGGTTTCTGTAGTTTAAAAATTTAATCTCTTGTCTTGAAACGATTTCATGTCCATGACTTCACCTTTGATCATCTACAGAAGTAAAAAAACCCCTTGAAATTTAAAAAGAAGGTAAGTTGGTGGTAAAATCAGAGTTTTAGTGCAATTAAGTATTTGCAAGGTCAACTACTGCAGTCTAAAATATTCTGAACTAGTTCTGAATATATCAAATTAATAAATATATTCACAGAGGGGGAAAAAAAGTGAAAATTAACATCTTTCTAGCTTAGGAATCCAACAAGTGCTTTAAATAGGGACCTGATCTATTTGGAAGATATTTTTTGAAACCTAAAATCCTCTTTTCTCTTTTTCCCAGCATCCCCATCCTGCACAAAGCCTCCCAAGCCTGGTCAGTTTGTTCAGCTTTCCTAGGAGCTTGTGGAGCTTAATTTCAGTGCAGGGAATCCCAAGAGCTTTTCTCTTTTATAATCAATTCTACCTGCACCAACTTATTCTTAATATAAAAATGGCCAGTTGGAACATGAGAATGTCATTTTATCGGGATTCAGGTCAATAATTGTATTTATTTTCTTGACAGAAGAGTCACCTCCAGCATTCAGTAATTTGATTATTGTGCTTAATTCATAACAAAATTGGACTAACCCAACTCAGAAATGCTTTTGTTCTATGGTTAACTCCTGTTTTTAAATAGTTTTATGATATAAAGGCTTTTATTTTCAGCAATTAGAAAGAAGAGTTGCCCAGCTCTTCAAGGGAAATTGGGAATGATTTAAAAAATTATGTGTTTGATGCATCTTTATGACTTAAATCGCAGCAAACGTATTTATAACTTTTAAAGCATCGAGCATCTGTTCTTCCTCTTCCAGGCTGTGCAAACAAGAGTGCTTTGGCTTCCCCTAAAATATTTCTTTTTTTTTAACAAGTCCAACAGGCACAGTGTGGTCAATGACAAGGCATCCTGAGCCTGGCTTGTTCCAATCAACTTCTGCAGGAGCGGGATCGCCAAGGGATCGCGGGAGTCGGGAACAGCGTTTAGCACTTTGCTGACCTTGACTCCACCTTTTCAAAACTCCTTCTGGAACCAAGATTTTTTCCAGCCATTTTCAAGTGATTTCTTCCACTTCCTCCAGAGACTGAAACACTTGATTGACCTGTGATGTTCAGTGAAATTCTTGCACTGGAAATGAAAAAAATGTTGGAAACCCTAGACATGAAAATGCTCATGAACTTTAAAAAAAAAAAAAAAAGTCAAAAAAGTTTTCAACATATCATCTGTCCAGGGTGTTTAACAACAGGTATTTGGGGTTTCTTTTCATTGTGAAGGAAGATTTAGGAGCAAACATGAAAAATAGATATTTAATTTTAAATGTATGATTTTTACCTGTATTTTAGCCTTGTATATAACACTCTGTCTCACTTGAGAGTTGCTAATAACCAGGAAATGATTACTGAGAACTTCTGAAATGACATCGAGTAAAAAATTAAAGGATGTGAGGAGACTTTTTTTTAAGAAATAAAAGCTTTTAGAGCTGAGATCATGATAAATTATTTCTCAGCATTCCTTAGAAAGAATAATGGAGCTGAAGTTTGTACTGTGAGTATTGTGTTACTTGATGAATCTCTGGCTCTCAGTACCTACATGAAAACAGGACTCCCCAAAGACTTGTCAGGACTCTGTGTTAAAAAAGTTTGCACAGGGAAGGAGATTTTATTATTTCTAACTCGCTTTTACATCTTATGTTTTGTGCTTAAACTTGGTAGACATTTTGGAAAAAGGTCTTTCAGCTTGAAATTTTGAATCAGTCCATGCTGAATCAACTGAGTGGTGGAAATGAGTCATGACTGACCAGTTTTCTGTGTTAGAAAACCAAGAAAAGGAAAAAACCACTTTCTTTTTACTAAATTACTTAAAAATATTTTTTTATATCTAAAGTTTAACCCTACATTGAGGAATTTACCTATTAATTATTTTCCAAATGGCATCAGCAACAAGTATAGGTGATAATTCACCAAATAAGAAATTCTGCAACAGTAAATATTTTAGTATTTGTATAATGCTAATTTGCTCTCTCAATTTATTAGACAGAAAGTTTCTCTGTTGAAATGTACCAAACCAACATCCAAAAATGCAGCTTAATTGCACTGAAGCACAATTTTCTGAAAAATCTGCATCTTGAAAACTTCAACTCTGTAAGTTTCCTCATACTTCTCTTTATAATAATCCCCTGGATGAGAGGTAGGTTTTGTTTGTTTTTGTGTAAAAAAGTGGGACCAAACACTGAATTAATGAAAGTTGAAGATGAACATTTGAAAGGTAGGTATGTAGGGCTTCATTTATTTCAAAAATTATTTTTGAATCTCCATTTGTTTATTCTGGATAGTTATCCTGGCTGGATGAATTATTGCTTCCTAGGGATCCATCCAAGCCCTGTGGGCTGCCATTGGCCTCTGGGCACTAGTGAATTCCAGTGTTAATTTTATTAAGCCCTGGGATTTCCTCCTCCTGGTCACTTTTCCCTGGAAATGAAGTGTGGAACATGCAGGGCCTCAGCTGCACCAGATCTCTCCCACAGCACATGGAATGGGGCATGGCATGGACAGCATCTATAATTTAATTGTACAGCCTGAGTGTTATTCTCTAATCCCCTTGCTCTGCTGTGTCAGAAATCAGGACTCGATTGTCTGGCTGAGTTTCCACGTTCCAGAGGTGATACTGGGTCAGTTCTGAAAAAAAGATGAGAAAAAAAGGAAGCTGTGCAGTTGCAGAACAGTTCTGTGCTACAGGCAAGTTCAGTGTGCTGGTGAGAAAAAGGAGTTTTATGGCTCAGGAGAAAATCCTGTATCCATCCCAGCCCCAGAATAGGATTCAAGTTTAGCACCACGTGGTACAAAAAGTTGTGCAGCCTTTGGTTTGCTGTTTAATCTGGTTGCTCATCTATCAAATGAGGATATTGATTCTGATCTCTCACAATCTCCAGCGAGATTTTTAAGGGAATATATGAAGCACCTATAGATCAGTGAGCTCTGCAGAGATGTTTTAGAGTGCAAAGTGCTTTTAAATGGTGCAGCTGTCTGCTGGGCTGTGTTTAAGGCTTGGTTCACCTAACGCTGCTCCCTGTTTTGTGCAGAGGTGCTCGGGGGCTGGCCAGGCTGCCTTGCAACAGAGCTGGCAGAGCCTGCTGGAAAACAGAGCTGGAAAAGTCAATGCAGCTCTTGCTCAGGTTAAAGGGAAGCCTGCATTGTTTTACCTTTCGTTGTAATTCCGAGGGCCACTCCAGTTCAATGCAGGCTGTATTAATGTGCATCACTTATCCATACACTGAGTCAGTCAATGACTGCATTGATCCAGAGCTGTGTTTTCTTTCAGAGGATGCTGCAATGAGGCAATAGAAATCATTAGGGCTTGTGATATTGAAATCCTCTTGGTGCTGGCAGACCTGGAGCTCACATTTCACATACTGTTGCAGCAGCACAAGAGCAGTCATGCCTGGAATTTCGAGTGAAAGTTTCTGTTTATATTTTTTTTGTTGAGTGAACCTGCTATGTTTTGTTCCCTTCTCTTGTACTCAGGTTATTTTACTGAGGTCTGTTGTGTACCTGGCAAGGTGGTCTAGGGCAAGGTGTCCCTGCCCAAGGCAAGGGGTGGGACTAGAAGAGCTTGGAGGTCCCTTCCAAGCTAAACCATTCTGTGATTTGATGATTTTATGTACAGGATGCAATCTTTTCTTCTTGTATTGAATGTGATTCTAGGAATGGCATGGCCTGGGTCAGAAAGGGCCTTAGAGATCACTTTGTTCCAACCCTTTCCATGGGCAGGGGCATCTTCCACTAGAGCAGGTTCCTCAGCTCTGGTGTTTCCTGGTAAAACCCTCTGAAGGTCTCAAAAGGCTCTTCCAAAACCTCAAATTATTCAATATCCTCTTCTTAAGGTCTCTCACTCTTTTAGTTGTCATCACAAACTTCTAAGAGTGAGACACAACTTTTGTGCCTTAGCTTTTCCCAAGCTTTTGCAAATGGCTGGATGTTTAGCAGACTTCCAAAGCTGGTACCTTGTTCATTAATAACAGTAATCTGATCACTACAAAAATGTTTATGAGCTCTTCTTCAGGGAAGAATGCAATCTAAGCAAAAAGAGCCTGTTACAAGTAGAAAACAGAAGGAAATTATGTGACCCTGGTAAACATTATACAGGGGTTTCAGCAATCTGCAGGCTCATTATTGTGAATTTCTTTAGGATATTCATAGAGGGAGAAGGGGAATAATGACCTACAGTTGGAGGCATGAATAAGACAACATTCAAAAAGCTGCAAGTTTAATTTGGGGAATACTGCTGAGGAAGAAATGGCAGCAGGGAAAACAAGGAGAAATTTGGAGAACATTCCCCCAGTCACCCAAGTAAACCCCCACTAAATACACCCAGCAACTTGTGCTCATAAATCCGTGTGCAGGAAGGGCAGTTGTCAACAGGTTGTTCCAATTTTCAAATGAGGTTTGTCCTTGCAGGTTTTCTTCACACCTCTCCTGATGGCTGCAGGATTAAGACTATAAAAAAAGCAGGTCATGGAAGCAAATTGGAAAATGCCAACCCTCCCTCCAGCTTCACGTTTCCTTTTGAAATACTGCTTTTAAAAAAAAAAATCTCCCAAGGAGATCATTGATGACTTGAGGGATGGAAGAATTGGGGTGTGGATGCTTTAGGAAATGTGTCAGGCTTTTGGGAGGTTATGGAGCTGATTCAGCTAATCTGGATGTATTAGGGGAAATCTCCCTGGTCTACCCCACCTGAGCATGGCAAATATTCCTTTCATTTCCTGCAGCAGACCTGAAGACGTGTTATGAGGTGGCTTTTTCTGGATGATCCTGAGATAAACAGAAACTTCATAAGAAAATCTTTTCTTCATGGTAACCCCATTGCAGTTCTGAGGGCTTTTGGATAAAGTTTTGATAACACTGGTAAGGAGCAAAGTGTTACTGAAGGCAGAGGCATTCAGGTGAAACCCTAACCCCAAATCTTGACTGTTTGTTACTATTAAAGACCTCTTGGCACTTTTCACAAGAGCAGAGGTGTGAGCCCTGGTGTCCTGGCCAAATTCCAGCCTGGGTAATTAAATTCTGCGCTCCTAAAATCCCCCCTGTAGTTTCAGCCGAGTCCAGGATTCCTCATTTCCTCCGCGAAAGCGCGGCACAGAATTGCTTTGTGCTGGTAAACAGCTGCCACAGCTCACCCCAGAGGAATTGCTGCAGCTCAGCCCTCAATCTCTCTCTGTCTCTCCTTCACACTCACACAGGGCACAGCACTGCCCCAGAGCACCCACGAGCATCCCTCCTCCCTGGAAATGTGGGATGCAGGAATTGTGCAAGGCACAACCAACCTGCTAAGCAAACCTGGACCCCATTCCCCTCTCTTAACCCAATACTATTAAACCCTGCTCAACTTTAGGACTCTAGCCTAAAAACACCTTGCTATTGCTGAAGAGCTGGGGAGATAAAGCGTTGCTGGTGCTGCTCCCCTTGATTTCTGGATATTGGTCATACCTGGTAAATGGTTTCATTTTCTTTGCTGAGGAAGAAATCTTGAGTCCACTTCTACTGGGGCTTGTTAAGCTGTTGCCTTGGGGGCCAGTTGATCAGTTGTTAAGTAGTAAGCAGCTTTGGCAGGCAACAGGCGTAGGATCCCCTGCAGCTACTCCAGCCTGCCCATCCTATCATTCTTTAGAGAGGGAGCCAGGGTATTGTCTTAGAAGTGCAATAATGATAAAATACGGGCAGAACCTCTTCCCTCCACTTTGCATGCACAGGCATTTTAGTAAACTCCATGACATCTGGAGGGACAAATATATAGATAAATATTTACTTGACAACAGTGGTTGTAAAGTCCGGCTGAGGATTTTTTTACAAATTTTTTTTTGATGATAAGTCAGGAGCTCTCAGTGAAAAGGCTGAGAATTGGGGCAGCTGCACTGAGAGCTCCTCAGCTGTTTGTCCTGGCTGTTATCAGCTTCAATTCCTCATAAAAAATTATAGGAAAATATGTCAGAAATCCCAGCCACAGAGAGCCAGGCTTGGTATAGGGTAATTGTGCCACTCTTCTATCTGACAGTAAGGAAGTTCTTCAGTTATAATTTTTTTGAATATTGCTATTACTTTATTCTTATTTGCTGCTTTAATTGTTGTGTCATATTTGCCTGAAAGGTGTGACACTTTCTAAGCATTGGGACAAAAAAAAAAAAAAGCCAGCTTTGCCATTTCTCTATCTCAGAAACATTTCTGTGCTAGCAGAAATATCTATTTTCCAATCTTTGTGCACACTGAGAAATTTCATCCGTCTGATTTTTCCTTAGCTAAGTACACCAGGAATGATTCAAAGCAAGCTCGACAGATTCCTGCTTTTCACATGCCAGTAGGGTTTTTTAAAATGTATTTTATGCTGGGCTTATTTTGTTTGGTTTTTTGGTTGACTGAATTACCTATATTCCTTGAAATGGTG